CCACCCTGGCCGCCGTCTGGTGCCCGATGACTACCACCGGCCCTTGCAAGCCAGATGCCAACCCCCACCTGTCGACGGCCTGCCGGTCTCGTCAAACGACTGCCACTGCTGCCGCTGCAGCCTGCCGCCTGTCTACCAACAGGTAATGCTCTATGCTGAGTGGAGCAAGAAAGACGTCTCATACACTATAGTGGGCAAAGCTTAATACTGGAGTGCACATGGACATGACTGTTTTATTAAATTTATAAGTTTTTTTTTCTTTAAAAAATTAAAAAATATTGAACTAAATATGTTTCATATTTTTTATGTTTTTAAAAACATATAAACCATAATAGTACCAAACATATTTTCTAAAACAAAAAATATGAAATAAAATAAAAAACAAAACATACTAAAAATAAAAATAAAAAAAAATAGAAAGTGATCCCTAACAAACCCTTACCCTGCAGTATTAATTCGGCTGAAAGTGAAATAATCTAATACTTAAAAACTCTTACAAACTTATACACTAAATCTGTGGAAGAGTTGTCAGCTAAAATTTCTCTCTAATTTGTATATGGCATCACCTGTCTGTCTTGTCTTCTAACATGAAAGTGGCTAGCACCAATTTCCTATTTTCTGGACAAATCATGCTATTTAGAATCTTTCTGATCTTTAATAATCAATCTTTAACGGTTGTAGGGTACCTAGCACCTTTAAATGCATGCGGCTTGAATGTCTTAAAGATTTTGACATACTAATCAACTTAAGTACTATATTTTGATATGGGGGCCCAATACTTGTAAAAGATCTTTCAATAAAAATTATTTTATCAATTACTTGAGATGTCAATTGAACAATACACTGTAACCTAGTGGCTTTAATTTCTTTATTTGTCATATTCTTAATATCACTTTTGTTTGAGTTATTTTTAGCTTGTCTTTTTTGATCTCCAATTGGTCTGGAAGGTTGGCCCTCAGTTTACTCTAATACTTTCACAAACTTATAAATACATAATTTATTATTCAGTATAATTATCATAAAGTAATTATGCCATGCACACATTATTACTTCAAATTATATGGGTTATACACCTCAAATCCAGTCATATATACTTACGTATTAATCAATTCATATTTTAATCTCATTCTTACTTCTAAATCCAAACATGCATTCATGATTATTTCCATCTAACATCGCTCTGTACCACCTTACCACCTTCTGTCGCACCAAACCCCCCCAACGTCAACCATGATGCAACACAAGTGGACGACTCAACCAAACAAACTCCTCACCAGCATGAGTTCTGACTCACATACATCAGGACTCAGTGTGTAATGAACTTATTTAACTCAATCATTATAAACATTCACAATTTAATTAAATTCATAATTAATTAACATTCCAAATTACTCATAAGCGTGCATAATAATATCACCAAAATGTATACAGTTACTAAAATTCCAACACATAAAAATAGGTACACAAAAAAATTTTATAACTTTAAAAATTATGCAATCTAAAAGTTGTATACTATTACACCTAGCTTCTTGATCTAGTGTTCTTTACCCTTTTCCTAAAAATCAACCACATATAGGAATAAACTACAAGCTCAACGATATAATCAAGACTAAAGTAAAATTTTATGGATGAAAAGAAAACGTGTATGTTAATCCTAGCCCATATGTATGATAACAATATATAAAATGAACATGTTTTAATCATATGTGACACATAAGATAAATGGCATGAAATACAATAAACATTGGCAACTGCAACAAGAATATATTTCATTCATTCGTGCGCAATAGTAAGAATATACATAATAATTTTATAATCAATAACTCTCATCTTAGGAATATTACTTGTAATAGCACATGCTTTGATTACATTCATTTTATTTCAAGTCATTGGGTCGTCACCAAGCCCCTCAGCTAAAATAATTATTGATAAAAGTTGATCCCTTCCAACATAGTTATTATTAATAGTCCACCTGATACAAACAGTTTCGTCCCAGCCTAAACATCAGGAGTCAAGAATCTCATTGTTTTCTATCATTCATACAAGCAGGTCATTCAAGTAATAACCTACCTATCACAACACTGGTGACATTCCTTTAAACATAATTTGAAGAACAATCATTCATCATATGCAAATCCTGTATCATATGCATATACAATAGTATATGAATACCTACAAATAATAGTTTAATAAACATGCTCACAATATCAATAAAAGTAGTAAACTCATAAATATCATTAATGTCAACTCAAGTTCGCATTCATGTAACATGTGCAGACATTCAATAATAAGAAGAAATTTCTAAATAAACTCGCATGTCAATAAATCATGCAGTGATCATACAGAAAGATTTTTTTCTTAATTTAGCAAATTATTATTTCATCTAAACTGACAAAATAGCCCCACTACGAATTTCCTTAAGCTTGCTGTCTAGAGTATGCTACATGAAACCATAATTTTCTCAAGATTTCATGAAATTCTTAACTTAAATTTTTATATAACCCAAAAATAATCAATTAGTTTTAACCAACTTGATGGTATTTGCCTACATTATGTACTCTTCCTGATTCTTATTCCCTTAATTTTCTTCCTCTTCTTCCTTTTCCCTTCCTCTTCTTCAACATTTCCTTCTATGTTTTCCGCTAAAGACCTTACCCAAGGTAAGCAAATCGTAGCAACAGAATGCAGGAAATGAAAAGAATGTTTCAAATTGCATGTGAATAAGGATTCTATTAATCAATTTCTTCCCAAAACTACAAAACGAAGAGTTTGGCTCCCGGCCGTCAGCCTACTCCGCTCTGCTTAGTACCCCATTAGAGAAGCGAGCATAAGATACAGGGGAGGAAATGCAAGGCACTGAAATTTATTTCATATGCATGTAGATAGGAAAGACTAATGCTTAAATCTCAGCCATCCAACATTTATTCTGCCACTACATGTTCAATTTAGAGTATTTGCTACATTAGCACGGGATTAGAAATGTTAACTAGGATAGATTAAGACTTTAATTAAGCTTATTTAGTTAATATTTTAAATTTTTATATCTCCCAATATATCTATATGTTGAAAAGCTTCTAATTTTATTAAACTACTATTGAGTGTATTCCCTGAGATGCAAAAATAAAATATATTTTAAAATTATTAAACTTCATCTGACTTAACAGGAATTGAGTATTACATTTAACTATGCTTGAAAATGCATATTTCACTTTCTTTAAATTAAAACAGTAATACTTTCGATGTGATATGAAGGGAGTTGAGTGCCACATGAGAGAGAGCGCCGCAGAACTCGATCCCTGTGAGGATGAGCTTATCATGGAACCGTTCCCCATTTTCTCAATGCAAAATTTTGAAATATCATCAAGCTTATCATGGAACCGTTCACCCATTTTCTCAATGCAAAATTTTGAAATATCATCATAAACCTGCGTATGGACATACAAATTTGCTTGTTAAATGCTTTACATTATGATGTTACTACTAAAGAAATTTGAGGTTTATGGCGTAAATAATTAGGGGCATTTACTTGCATACAAATAAATTCTTATATGTTTACATATCGAACACCTAAATTTTCATATGTACATACATGCTACTCAAAATTTTGACATTAAATCAAAAAATATAACTATTACTAACTTCTTAAAAGTGAACTACATCTTTTTCATGCATAAGTTTTAAGAGCAAAGTGTTATAAATTTCAGGTGTTAGATATGTAAACAAATAAAAGCTTTGTGACATTTATGTAAACTTCCCAGATAATTATTAAAAGTTAGAATAATGAGTTTTTCAGAAATGTACTTCATTGTGTCATTCTTTTTCTACTTTTATGCGGACGGCTTCGTTCTGATGATTGAAAGGAGCTTGGATTTTGCTCGAGTACGTTGTCGTCGGCACTGTCCATATGATTCCTCTTGATGCTTCTGCGAATGATTAACATAAATCATTTGAACCCAAAAAAAAAGAAAGTTGAAAGTAAAACATAATAATCAGATAAAGATCCTAACACAACAAGAGCATGTACAAAGAAAAAACATATTATAGCAAAATAAAAATACAATGAAATAGTGTATAATACAAAGCATTCATTTGGATAGTCTAATTTGATGCCTGATGAACAAAAGTGAGTGGCAATAAAATTTTTCATGATTCCTACCACTTGTGATATAAAGAATGTAAATACTTTTATCCATGAGAGAGCTTACATTTGAATGCTCGAATCAGAATCAGAAATCAGTTGTGACAAATAATTGATATTTATGCATCGCTGATGCGTTTCAAAAACTTGTAAAATATTATCGGTACTAATCTCAACGGTTAATGAAAAGATCAACCCTACACTACAATTACAAATCTCCACACATCTATTACCAATATTAAAGATACGGCAATGGCAGGAGATCATAAATATCTCAAGAATATCATCAAAGTCCAACTGTAGAAAACCAGCTGCATGGATCGTAATGAAGCTACAAATGTTGCAATTGCTGGAGTAAATTTCTCTGTGAAGTGCAGGCACAGCAAAGCAAGTACACAAAAGCCTCTGAGGAAGAATCAAAGAAGCAGGAAAGCGACAAAATAGTGAAGCCAGACGAAGGATCTTAAGAAGCCAGCAAACAAAGAAAATCTATTTGGAGCATCAATTAAAACTATTTTACCACATTCACAAAAGAATGTGGGGGTTGAGATGAAGCTTCGCAACTAAAGAGAATTAAAGAGGAGATGCCTCAAAAACATCAAGGGCCACATGAAGAGGTGGCGAACTCAACAAATCCCTCAGAGGATTCATTGCAAGAGAAGATGAGCCAATTCGATGAAATTGGGAATGCTAAAGGACCCCTAGTGGTGGGCAATGGAAGAGACCAAACACAACGACAAATACAAGAGCAAAAGTCTATTGTCGATGAGAGAAGAAAATAGTGGTGTGAAGAGAGCTACTTTAACTACCATGAAGACCTACAGCAGACAAGAGGTGACAAAATCACAAATAGCTCATAGAATCTATAATTAGAAATAGCATCAGAATGTCACAACAAGAACAAACAAGGGGATGTAGAAAAAGAACACCTACTAAAAATCCGACAAGCCTTTTCCAGCAACCGATTGACAGGGAACCCCAATTCCAACCACTCAAAAAGGGAGAAAACATGGGAGTACAAATGAGGATGTGAAGCACATGATGCATATGAAAGCGATGCACTAGTAGGCCAATGTACCCAGCCCTAGCCACGCAAATGTTTCCAGCGAGTGATCATCCCCATGTTGATATCAAAACTCCATGTGTGATCATCTCCACACGCGATAGTCTCCACACACAAGCATAGAGGTTAAGGCCTTCTGAGACAGCCAACCTACTTTCAATTTGTACAAATAAAAAGAGGTGTTTGTGCATGAAGCTCAAATCGATATACAATTTGAACCTTAAGGGGTAGTTCTTCATATTCTCACTCCAAACATTATAAAACTATTGCTTTCGTGACTTAAAACTTCTATTCTCATGTTACTATGGAGGGAAGTTGTTTTAATTTTTGAAGGAGAAATCTTCAACAGCTAAAGAGCAAAAAATAAATCTTCATTCATGCTTATAAGGGCCACTGCCCTGTTGAGAGTAAAATTTGGAGGCTGAAATGCCTCCAAACAATGGTTAGAGCGTCTTGATCAAGCCAACATATACAAGTACTTCATCCGCCATCTAAATCTATCGACAGCCTAAATTTTCCTAAATTAAGTTCCATGCCCACCCTAAATAGTTGAGATAAAAACTAATAATAATGAATTTTGTCTCAAAAGAGCCAACTCAGAACAAACAAAAAATTGGTTGCGTCTATGACTGAAGGTTCGGGGACTTCATCACAAAATAGAGTTTTTGCTATGCAGGAGTAAGATTGTATGGATCAGGAACCCATCCCCAGACGACACAGAGAGAGTCTCATGCACTAGTGTATTTTTACTAGTAATTTGTCAATTCAACCAATAAGTTGTGCTTACAACCAAAAAAAAAAAAAAAAAAAACTACTTGCACAATTTCAGTTGATGGTGATCCAGTCAAGGCATGTGGAAGATGGTAAAAAGGGCAAAGAATGCAAGCTTGATCATACCTTTCCTTCTGTGGTGCTTCGTAAACTTCATGTTTGGATAGCCAATGGATGCATCCAGTATTCGGCGGAACTAAAGATCCAGAAATGTGAAGCATTTCTTCATCCATCCTACATGAGATTAATAAAGATACAGTTAGAAAATGTGACGAGCTTTTATTATTATACAAGATGAAAATTTTAAAAGAACAAAAATATATAAGGAAAGAAACATACGGTTTGCTTGTGTACTTGATAGAAGATGGACAACTAAATTCAAAATGTTAAATCGCAACTTTTAAGATGAAAAATCAAAACCAGACCAACCGATATGTTTTCACCCAAATCAATGTCTTTTCAACCATCTGAAGTTAGTCAACATAAAATAAATCATATTCAGAGTAATTCGACTAACATGAAGGTCAATATTAACTCACGCATACTCAGATCAAAAGAATATATCATTGAGATATCACTTCCATAATCATATGTTTAAATATCTTGAATCCAATAAATAACAAATTATTGTAGACGAGGTTAGGATTTCAAGGTTTAAAACTTGATGGTTAAAATGAGTTCTACACTAAAAAAGTCAAAGATGTAAAGGAAATTTTTCGTTCTTGGAAATCACTTTTAAACTAGCTCTGCGACAAGAACTCAAACATAAAGCCATAAAAAATCATTGCAGCGTGACATAAAATAATATTAAGATAGATGTGTAACAAAAATTAAAAAAGTGTTAAGAAAATTATAAATGAGACAATAAGAGTAGCACAAAATGAAGTAAAGTGATAAAAATGAGCTTTTAAACAACTTGGCTGTATACAATGGAGGGAAAAGATGCACCAATAAGCCAAGTAAAATATAAATAAAAAAGATTACTTTTATGAAACTTTTTTCTTTACCCTGATAATTTGGTTCTATTTTGCCATCCTATTTTCTACAGATAGACGCATTATGCTAGATTTTTCAGTATCATTCAATAGCACTAGCAACACACTGCATCCAGCGATTTATGAGTAAAATCTTGGCGAGCTCATGGATGTATTTGATGTGTTTGTTTTGAATATTTAAACCGGTTTATTTTGTATTTGTGACTTTTCTCCGCTTTTGTTTTCTATGTTTTTTTTTATTGCATAAAAAATATACCGGATATATGATTATACTTGGGGAGTGTGAATCAATGAATGTTAAAATATTTTTTTAGCTAAAATTTATTTATATGCTAACATATTTTTGCAACTTTTTGACACGAAATTAAATTTAAATATCATTTGTCTCAACATTAGCATATATAATTAGGCAGCCAATGCTTGCCTACTCCGTTTTCTGGATCATAACTAAACCTGGTATGTAAAACAAAATTGAACTGCTCAGTTCATTTCACGTGCTGCAAGATTCTTCGTGTAGCACCAATGCTTCATGACATCCAATTTGTTTATACTTTATCAAGCTGAGCCATTCAGGGATTTAAATTAGAACAAGTTGACTAAATCACATTAAAAGTCATGTTAGCTAAGATTCAGTGAGATCCAAACTCTGAGTGATATCCTATAGATTCCATTTTTAAAAAAATGCTGCATTTTGCTTCAAGGTGTCGCTCCAGTTTTGCCAAAATATAGGGGGCCACAACACAAACAACAAGCAATCGCTCCAGTTTTGCCAAAATATAGGGGGCCACAACAAACCACCATTAGAAAATAAAATCTTAGATAGGATATTAACATTGCATAGGCCAGCTCGGATTGATATAAGTTATGCCATGTAAGACGCGAGTTTGTTTTATGAAAGCTGTAATGGAAACCGAAACAACAAAAACTATAAAGCATGAAAAAAAAAGCTTCCAGAATTGCCAGTGTATTCAGACAATCAATTAACTGAATATGCAAAATATAAATAAAGAATGTAGATGGAAATGACAGAAAAAACTGCAAGAATGCAAAGCAATTTTACATTTGGAGCTTACCTTGATAAATGATCACTTACTATGCTTCCCTGAATAATGAATCAATAAAAAATGGATGGATCGAAGTGAACAGCAGGCACACATCACTGAATTAGAGCAAAAGCAACATTCTTTATCCAAGTAAAACAAGTAGAATGAAGGATTAGATATTCAAGAGACTAGGGATGAGATAATGTAGTTTAATAGACTTCCAACAGCTCAAGGACTTGGTTGAATAGTCACGAAGGAACATATAAGTTTTGGAATATAAATAATGGTACTTAAGGCATATGTTAGGCTTGATGTTAGGATTGACTACCCAATTCAAGGGAATTTACTTAATCTTCCTAGCTCAGGGGCAAAAGTATGGTAAGCTTGGCCGTATTAATATGAAATGGGTTCTTTGTAGGCCTATTTTAGACTTTAACAGCATTGATATGTTTTAGGTGCGAAGGGACAACATTTTTTATATATTTTTATTTCTATTGTTTGTATATAGTTTAGCAATATTTGCGCTTTTTGGTCCCTTGAGAAACTTAGATGAGAGAGGAAATATGAAATATCTTCTACAATGAGCAGTTATGTATTAGATGTGTTCTAGTGTAGCCTTCTTATTGTGCGCTATTGTCAAAGCGTACAGATATTGAGTCATCGAGACCACAAAATACTTACTAGTACTATTGCCAAGCAAATCCCACCGACCTTTGTCTATTTTTTCCCCAAAGTTGCGAAGAGGAGTGGGGGGAGGAAATGTAACGCCCAATTTTCGAGAAGTGGAGTTTGGCAAATTCTAGAAGTACACCAAAATTTTATCTCCCAGAATTTGTTTGAAATAATTTTATTAACTTTTATGCATGAAATCGATCAAATTGATATAAAGCAATGTATGTAAATTGTGAATGGATTGGGAATTATAAAATATTGAAATATAAGTTTTATTAAATTAATAAATCCTTAATTATCCATAATCCTCGGCATTGTAGCCAACCGGCTTACGCCATGTTATTTTCTTTGGATCGGTCGAATAGGGTACCGAACTTCGCAATTTCCTTCTCCCGAATTCCTCTGCCTCTCTTCTCTTCCCCAATCCCTACATGTTCATCTCACGCGCAGCCGAAATAGAAGGGGCCGCAACCCTTGCTACAATGCAAGATCGCAGGTAGCCGCAGCTTGAAGGGGAACAGAGCAGCACCAAGGTTGTCGCAGCTCGAGATTTAGGGTCCGACACAATTTTTGTATGTACAAATTCCTCACTCATCATTCTAAGCATTCATGTCCTTCCCCACACTTCCATATTGAAGTTTGTCTCATTTTTCTTGTTTCCAGTAGTCGTCGGAGGCGACGATTTTGTGCAAAAAGTGTCGTGATTGTTTCCCAAGCTTCCAAAAGGGCTTTAGTATGAGTTTAGCGAAGGGGAACTCAGGTTGAATGTGATAGAAAGAAGATTAGTTGGGTTTAGAAGGGTGATTTAAGTTGAACAGTCCATTTGCGGTATGTTTTGACAATCAATGTTTGTTTTTGGGTTAATGCATGTTTTGAGTCAATTTTATGAAACCATATGCTGTCTACGAGCTGGCGGCAAGCTCGAGACAGTCGTATAGAAACTCGTCGTAGGGCTACTCCGTTGAATCGGATGAAATAATCTTGTGCTAAACTAAAAAAAATATTCTTCTATAGGCTTCATATGATTTCGAGTTTGACACTCATGCATTTAGGAATTCTAGCTTATTGTAGATGAATACCTACAATTAATTTATGAATGCAAGTTGACTTTTATTATACTAGATGTGTTTCTATATTATTTTATGATCCAAAGGACTACGCATATGACACTGATTGCTTGCAGGTGTTCATTTTGTTATGATTCATGCTAATTAGATATAAAGTATCTGATTGCAGAAATTATGTTTTATGAAATATTTGATCAATGTTGCTACAGAAATGTCACAATGAATATTAAGAGATAAATTATTATATAAGTGTTTGTAAGAACATTATGCAGATATTTATTCTCGACTCCTGATATTTATACGGAAACAAAACTATGTTGGAATTAGGCGGTGAAAGAACGTTAGGGTACTGTGGGTATTAGGGTGCGTTGTCAATAACTGCTATGTTGGGGGAAGTCTGACCTTTAACGATAGTTTATATGACCTTTAAAGCAGGTTGACGACTTATGATAAAAAAAATATGGAAATAGTTGAACCATATAGATTAAATAAGTGATATTCTTATGATATGACCTCTATGAAATGAATGAACATATTTATATTTATGGTTTCATGCTTACGACCTACAAGTTAGACTACAGTTGATTTTTATACTACTTGTATATGTTCTCCTTTCATGTTTTCTATTATGTCAGTATGTTATAATTGCATGTAGACATGTATAATTTCATTTGAACATGCACGTTACTTTTTTTCATGTTTAAATCTTATTTTAGCCCTGATTATTTTGTTCGGCTAGTTTTACTCACTCTACGTTGATGTCTTCAAGCAACGAGCACTGGAAAGAGTAGTCAGGTGACTTGTAGAGCTTTTTATTTCATTATTGGGAGCTTGTACAGTTTTTTTGGGTATGTATTTATTTATTGAATTTAGCAACTCTGTATATTTTTCATGTTTTGGATGATTTAATTTTCATGTTTTTGAATATGCAATCGAAATGAAATGTATCACATATGTTGTTGCAATCCAGTTAGACTAATTTATCACCCACTGGGCCCTGATTATAAAAGTCAGGCTGATTAGAGTTTGTCTAACCAAATTGCTCGCCTTTGTCGCACCTCAGCCAATCCCTAAAAAGAAGGGGAGGGCAATTGAGGTGTGACAAAGTGGTATCTGAGCATGGTTATTGAATCAAAAGAATGATAGAAGCATGTTGTATTTAGAAGATGTAAAAATGATATCAAATATGAAATGATTTTTACAAAACTATGGGTTGATGAATCTGGGGTGGGTAACCCTTACGATTTAAGGCGTCACGTGTGCACCATAAAAATATTATATGATAAATTGCATGTAAATAATAAATTGTGTCAATACAGATAAACATGCCTACAGAAGAATCATAAAGTACTGAAGGAAAAAATGCAGATATGAAGTTCAAGCTAATATTGTTTTGGGCAAAAATGAAAATCAGAACAAAAAAAATGCCGGCACCAGAACTACTGAGTTACAGAGCA